ACGACCATGACCCGAACACGGTGAAGAAGAAGTTTTACAAACATCCATTAAGACAGGAAAGGTTTTAACTCAAAGTCTCATTATTGACACCAAAGATGGCGAAGTGGACGTTCTTCAAGAGCTGAAGAAAAATTACTTCTGGGAGGTGGTGGTAGGCATGAACTTGAAATAAATGAGATAGAAGAGAAATTAGCCGAAAAAGCAGATAAAAACCATGTTCATTATATAAGTTCAGACGAACAGATTATAACGGACTACCATGGATATTTAACACAGGATGAACAAATAAGCACTGAAGATGTTAATGAAAGAAGATATAAATTCATTCGTGCTAAAGGTTATGACATACACTGTACTGTACAGTATGACACAGGTAAAGCACCAGAAGCATTTGGTTATAACAATGAAATTTATGCTTCATACTTCTTTGTTAACGGTGTATTAGTTGAACCAAGATTTACTTTGAGAGTTAAGGCAAAAATAACTTTGAAGATGCTATTAAAAGTAAAGCTGACAAAGATGAACTTGACGCAACGAACAAAGTTTTGAAATCTCATAAACACAATATCTCCGATATAAATGAACTTCAAGCTACATTAAATAGTAAAGCTGACAAGAACCATACACATGAATCCTTCACTACTGTTAGAGCAGACGACATAATATTGAACTATACCCTTGGTTCAAGTGCACCTTTAGAGAATCCAAGTACAAGCGTAAAAGATACACTAAACTCCTTAAATAACAAATGTATGAAATATCGAAGGTCATGTCAGAAACTTTGAAACACATGAACTACCAGCAATGTTAGAAAGAAAGCAGATAAAGAACATACACATAAACTCCTTCTCAACTGTTGCTATAGAAAGTATTGAAGGAACGGTTGGCGGAACTGGTGGGGATGCATTATATTATAAACCTCCTAACTTTCCACAAGTTTAACATCGAATGAAAACATAACAACGAAGAAAGACATTAGCTGTAAAAATGTTTATGTCATGGATGATGAAAATAATGTTAAATTCACTGCTCAAGATTTATATGATAATTTTTATAGGCTTCCACCCTTTGTTCATGTTCCTGCTTCTTCCCTTATCTCATTTGTTCAGTAGTTCTACATCTTTATACACAGCACCTGTCTCAGTGAATTCAACAATATTTTCATTCGTTAGCTTTACATTCAAACCCTTGTCGAGTATATTGTTCATTTCATACATATAAAAGGTTTTTATTCTATATGAAATGAGAAGCAAATCCATCTTAGCTGGTGCCGTTAATGTTCCAATTGAACCAACATCAAATGTTGACTCACGAACGACAAACAATATTGTCATAAAGAACTATAGTTCGGAGTGTTTGAAAGAAAAAGAACCAGAACTTAAGTCGGTGAATTTAAACACAGCTTCAAACGCTAACGCTACATCAGATGTTAAGTTAGAGTATCCACCACTGGACCAAATTCTTTCAAGAGAAGCCAACGACAACCCTTACACAAATGTTCAAACAAATCCTTCAGATAACGTAGACCATTACCTTCTTCAGTTATACCAAACAATTTTACTCAAAGACGATAAGAAGCTTTTGACAAATCTTATAAGCAAGAACCAAATAATTCTAACAAAGGAGGACCTTGAAAATGTTATCTCACAAATAACAGGGAAACAATGTGTCATTGACTATCTCGACCCTGAAATCGAATGCTGTGGTCAAACTCCACTATTCATGAAAATAGGTAACATCCGCATCATTGAAACACCAGGAACTACAGGAGTTGAGTTTAAGTATAAATATTCGAATGAATATACAAAACTATCTACTGACTATAAGCTTTGTTTGAAATATGTTTTAGTAAATTAAAGCAGTCAGGACCTTCGGTCTTGGCGCTTTGCGCCGTCAGTCAAAAAATTTCAAGTTAGCAATTTGTAATATCTATCCAAAACTTCTTCAACAGTATCGAACTCATCTTCATAATGCAAACCTAATCTTATTGACTTGGTGCAGTTTTCACTAACACAATATTTTTCTGTTCTCTTGACTGACATAACTAACTCATTTGTTTCATCAAACAGCAACAACCAAAGTTCATGACCTAATACATAACATTCATACTTTATATTTTTAGCTCTGAGTTCTCTTGTAAGCTGTTGCATTTAATATTTTCTAAAAAGTCAACTTCAACAGTCATTCGCACTGGTGCCTTCAGTTCTACAGGCTCTCCTTGAAAGTCAACAAGTCTGAATTGCATGTCTTTCAAATTATGAGGACTAATGCGAACCCATTTACCTAAATGAGTTGCTATGACAGGAACGTTTGGAATGAACATTGAATTGACTGCATAACAGAAGGATTTATATTCTACTGAACCTTTACTATTAACTCCTGAAATGCCTGTGACATTAGCTATTTTAGACTCAATGTATAACAATTACCATAACATACGTATGGAACAGATTTCATCTCAATCGTTTTGTCAACACTTTTCAAAGGAAATGTCATATGGTATGCTCCCAGAAGCAATTGAACTCTATGACTCATTCGTGTTATCTTAAACTCCTTCGCATAACTGAACTTCAATGTTCCCTCAGAAGAGAGTTCGACATCTATGTTGTCAATAGTTTCTTCATTTATGAGAGTATCTATGACTCCAGCAATTTTATCTATTCTATACCCAGCTCTGTTAGGAAATGTTATAACACTTCTTTTGTCATCTATTTCAATCTCTATGAAATCTGTTTCATCTGTTATGACAAAAGTTGCGATAGTATTGAAGTCAACAACTCTGAAAGCAAGCGCTTCATTCTGAAGACCTAAGTTTGTTTGTAGCTTTACTGTCCCGTATTCGTTTGGGTCTGTACTTTGCAAATAGAACAACATTTTATTCTCATTAAAATATGACTATTGCTGCATATGCGTATGAAACAAATGAAGCAAGAAGAGCACATGAACTAGTAAACGAAAACTCAACTTTAACCATTGAAGGCAATGATTTAGTCATTGACGATGGAAAAACTAAAAAAGTCATTGATTTCGATACTTTTAACACTTATGACCCATTCATTACAACAAGCAAGGTTCCCATCATAAATGATGGAACGGTGCAATATATAAATTCTACAGTAGATGCCTCATTAGTGAAAGTATTAAATGTTCTCATTGAATTGTTAAAGAGCTTTCGATTTGACGACAACATTAAATGCCTAAAGAATTTAGTCATGAATGAGAAACAAATTCTCGGCGTTGCTGGTAGCAGTAATGATGTACACCTTATGACATTAGAATATTATAACGAACATAAAGATGAACTGAAAGGAGAGAAGGGTGACACCGGACCTCAAGGACCACAAGGAATACAAGGAATACAAGGACCTCAAGGCGAAAACGGTTTGGATGGTGAAGATGGAAAGGATGGAAAAACTGCTAAATCATGGATATGGAACCTTATAAATACTGGTTTAACAGCTGCTTCATATGGAGTTCTTCAATACCAAATCGGAAAGATATGGGCAGTACTTGGTGAAGAAGCTTTAGATGACGTTAAAAATGCTTTGAACTTCATTTCAAATGGTTCGGATACTATTAAAACTTTATCTGGTTGGATGCAAGAAACAAGGAGTCAAATAGATACTGTAAGACGTATAGCAAACAATGCACGTACGGGATTGGATACTTTACGACAAGCACAAAATACACTAAAGGAAGCAAATGATATTCTTGGCTCAGTATCAGACATGCATGAAGATTGGCTTAAAGGTATTGACAAATCTTTAAAAAATCACAGTCAGTCTATTGCTGACTACAAGAAAAGTATAGATTTTTTACATAGTGCTATGGACGTACATGATGGAAGCATAAGGAACTTACTTAATGCTAACAATAACTTACCAGGAACTATTAAAGCATTTATAAAGTCCTTTGTAAAACCTGGTGCTCTAACATTTAGGTCTTTGAGAGCAAGAGCATTGAAGTCAAGAGATGCAGAAACTCCAACAGAACCTACAGAAGGAACTGAAACAACAGAAACTCCAGAAGAACCACCAAAACCAACAGCTAATGAAATATTGTTCGAATATTTTCCAAGGTACTCTGTTCTCATTGCATACATTCAAGAAATACTTAAGAAAGCAGACTTGACTTTAGGAGATGATGAAAGTTCTGTATATCTTTCGTTCCAGTTTCAAATAACAGAACTTTTGAGACAGATATGCTTAATGTATGACAACATCTCTGATTTCACAAGATATGATGACGACCATGACCCCGAACACGGTGAAGAAGAAGTTTTACAAACATCCATTAAGACAGGAAAGGTTTTAACTCAAAGTCTCATTATTGACACCAAAGATGGCGAAGTGGACGTTCTTCAAGAGCTGAAGAAAAATACTTCTTTGGGAGGTGGTGGTAGGTATGAACTTGAAATAAATGAGATAGAAGAGAAATTAGCCGAAAAAGCAGATAAAAACCATGTTCATTATATAAGTTCAGACGAACAGATTATAACGGACTACCATGGATATTTAACACAGGATGAACAAATAAGCACTGAAGATGTTAATGAAAGAAGATATAAATTCATTCGTGCTAAAGGTTATGACATACACTGTACTGTACAGTATGACACAGGTAAAGCACCAGAAGCATTTGGTTATAACAATGAAATTTATGCTTCATACTTCTTTGTTAACGGTGTATTAGTTGAACCAAGATTTACTTTGAGAGTTAAGGCAAAAATAACTTTTGAAGATGCTATTAAAAGTAAAGCTGACAAAGATGAACTTGACGCAACGAACAAAGTTTTGAAATCTCATAAACACAATATCTCCGATATAAATGAACTTCAAGCTACATTAAATAGTAAAGCTGACAAGAACCATACACATGAATCCTTCACTACTGTTAGAGCAGACGACATAATATTGAACTATACCCTTGGTTCAAGTGCACCTTTAGAGAATCCAAGTACAAGCGTAAAAGATACACTAAACTCCTTAAATAACAAATGTATGAATATCGAAGGTCATGTCAGAAACTTTGAAACACATGAACTACCAGCAATGTTAGATAAGAAAGCAGATAAAGAACATACACATAACTCCTTCTCAACTGTTGCTATAGAAAGTATTGAAGGAACGGTTGGCGGAACTGGTGGGGATGCATTATATTATAAACCTCCTAACTTTCCACAAGGTTTAACATCGAATGAAAACATAACAACGAAGAAAGACATTAGCTGTAAAAATGTTTATGTCATGGATGATGAAAATAATGTTAAATTCACTGCTCAAGATTTATATGATAAGAAAGCTGACAAAACAGAGCTTCAAACATTAAAGACTGAAATACTTCAAACATTATATCCTGTTGGTTCTTTATATACATCAATGAATTCAACAAATCCAGCAACAGTTCTGGGTTTTGGTACATGGCAGCAGATTGTAGACAAATTCTTATACTGTGCTAACTCTTCAAAGCAAACAGGAGGCTCAAAGAAAATTAAAGAAGCAAACTTACCTGCGCACACTCATACAGGAACGACAAACTTTTCTGGCGACCATAGCCACTCATTAAGAGACCACCCATTATACAACTCAGACTATAAAGCTGGCAATGACGTTTTATCTCCATCTTATAACAATTCAGCAAAAAAGACTTTTCGACCAACTGAACCAGGAGGAAATCATGTCCATACTTTCACAACAAATCCAACAGGCTCGGGTGAAGATTACATGCCACCATTTATGACTGTATTCGCATGGTACCGCGTTCAATGAACGCGCTTGAGCCTAGACCCTTTGGGTCAAGGCTTACCGTCTTGAATAAAATCTTTAACTTTACATAAATGAGCTTGAAAGAAGTATTCGAACAACATTCATGGAGGTCATTTAAGAAGTTCAATGAAGCTGCAAAGAGTTGGGGATTTACTAACAGAGCTGAAGTGAAAAGGTTCTTTGACAAAAATGTTGTACATCAAACAAAAATAAACCCTTACGACTACTTTTTACCAATTTACTCCAACACTCCTGACGCAAGTTAGTATACAAGTCTTGGGTATGGTGGCACTGCGTTCCACCTTACCCAATACTTGTGAATTTGACACTTTACAAAACCGTTAACGTATATTTTACAACATGAACGCAAAAACTAACTTAACCTTAAATATTTACAAAGCCGCCAACAATTTCACCTCACTATCGTTCTCACTAACAACTTCACTAATGTTCTCATAAATTTTCCTCAATATCTTCATCATCAGTGTTAACCCTATTGTAGTCATACTTGAAGCCATAAACTTTCTCTAACTTCTTAACGTACATCCAAATAAAAATTTTCAGTAAAATAAAAAATAAACTTAAAAATAAATGATATCACCACCCTCACACGTATGAAAACATAGCACAAAAATAAATTTAGGTGAAGTGGTGAGATCTCACCTCTTTTTTCACCCTGTTGAATTCATTGCTTTATAACTCTCTTCCTTTCTCCAACTCTTCTAACTTCTTCTTAAGTTTAGCAATGTTGTCCTCATGAAGTTTAATCTTTCTCAAAATTCCTTCTCTATCTAATGGTTGCTTTATCTTTCTAAACTGAACTCTACCATCCTTCATAGTATGAATGTAAAAACCTTCTGGAATAGTTCCTGATTTAATGTATTCTACCAAAAACTTTTGTTTCATTGCTTCAGTGACTTTATTTGTCATTTTACTCTAAGGTGAAGATAGCACAGCGATAATGGATTTCATGACTTTTTAGTATTTCATGCAATCTTAACAGATAGCCTTACAAGTACTTCCAGTGTCCCTAGCTGTCCCTCCTTTTTATATAACTCCATGACATTTATAATCTCGCGAAACTTAACAGGTAGCATAACAGATTAAAATCAGATGAGGTTTTGAACCAAAATTTCTAAGCAACGTTGTCAAGGATTTTGAGGAACTAGGGACAGAGTGTGGCAAAGTCCAAGATTTAATTTATCTTCATCTGTTTCATCAGCTATCTCATCTAATATGCCAATATTTTATTCATAACTCGTGGCAAACTCACTAACTTTCATTATGTTCAGCTGCATGCTTCATCTGATAGAAAGTATGACTTTCATTAACTCTGTGAGATAATGAAAACTACTAGGGACAGAGACCATGGCAAAGTTTATGACTTTCATTATTTCCAGAACTTAATGAAAACTACTAGGGACAGAGACCATGGCAAAGTTCATGATTTAATTTATTCTCTCACTAACAACAAACACAAACTCCAACACTAACATCAAGTACTAACTTCAGCACAAATGACAAACACTAACAACAAACACAAACTCCAACACTAACATCAAGTACTAACTTCAGCACAAATGACAAACACTAACAACAAACACAAACTCCAACACTAACGACAAAAATAAATGTCCTCACTTCTTAACAAAGTAATGTGTGCTTCTTACACCACCATAGCTCAAACGTTTCTTTTCAAACATCGATTGAAACTTATTTTGAGCCATTGACTTTAGTCTCTTTTTCTTCAAATACGCCAAGAAATCTTCTTCACATCTTTTCACTTCATAGCCTTCTTTAAACTCCTCCTTGTTAAGTTCTATGAAATCCTTTATCTCATTCTTTGTTGCAATGGCTTCTTCACGAACGACATCGTGAACTATTTCAACACTGTTCTCATGTATGACCTCCTCACTGTTCTCATGAACTATTTCAACACTGTTCTCATGTATGACCTCCTCACTGTCTTTCATAAGCGTTTCAAAGTCTCCTTTACTCATTACTTCAATCTCATGCTGTTCACAGTAGTACTTAAACTCACTATATATGTCTTTGTTGTATGTTATATTGCTTCCCATGTACTCCATGAATTTTTCAAGCACTTCCTCATAATTCACTGTTTCTTTCTTTCCACGACCTTCTAATATCATACTTGCTTCGTAAATATAACTTCTTGCAGAACCGTCTCGCTTTCTACTTCTCTTCACAAATTCTCTCATCTTGCCGCCAAATACATTTGAACTACATGCAAAGAATTCATTCTCCTTCGCAAATTCTTTATATCTTCTGTAGCACTCTGTACAATTCCATCCGGATACAAACTTTTCATAGAACTCCTCGTAAAACATTTGGTAAGGTGTTTTGTTCATTTCGATGAGTTCTTGTTTAGCCCTGGTGAATGGTATCTTCCTTACATCAAATTCACTTAAATCTTTCTTCATGAAGTACGTCAGTAAGTTTGAATAAAACTCTTCATTAAAGCTTTCAATGAGATTTGAGAAATATTCGTAATTTCCTTTGTATCTGCTGCTTACGTCAATGACAACAAATCTTCTGTCGTCTTTATCAATCTTTACTGAGTTGAAGTTGTTAGATATCATGATGATATTACAAACATTCTCTATCTTTCTTACTGGCTGACACTTCTGATTTAAGTCCAACTGAGTCTCTGTTACTATTGACTTTAGTGCGTCGTGGTTCATGACCTTAGACGTATCGCATGAGCTTAGTTCATTGCATACGATGAGCTTCATGTTCTCAATAGCAGCATTGAATCTACCAACCACATTCTCTATTGCCGTTATATTATTGTTGGCGTACTTGCTAATGAGCTCGCATAGAACATTACTAAGTACATTCTTACCAGTTCCTTGCTTTCCTATTAACAAAAGTACTGTTCCAGTCTTTCCACAAGGATTTTGAACGATGTAGGCGAACCAGTTCAAAACATACTCATAAAGCTCTTCATCCTCATTACATATGACATCGTGAACATGTTTCAAATATCCTTCAATAACGTTCTCATCTACTTCATTCAGTACCTCATACTCATATCCTCTGAAATAGCTGTAAATGTCATCTCTTTCGTCAAAGAATCTCATGCCTGACTTCATAAGATAGTTCTTGTTCTGACCCGCTTCATAAATCATCAGTGCGTTCACATCCTTCTCCTCAATACGTCCTACATAAATACTCTTCATGAGCTTATTGAATTCCTTGCTATCTACTGACACAAGTGTTGTTGTGTCTCGTATTCCATCATAATCTTTCACTAGATATGTCATACGTGCTCCGTCAATAACAACAACACATCTTCTTAAGTCATTTATAACACTAGCTATGTCAATACCGTCCTCACTCATGTACTTATTTCTTCTCAAGTCCTTTAGTGTGAAAGTGTCTCTAAGTTCTATTTCAAGCAATTCATTTACACATCCTTTGCAATACTTCTCTATAAAATATTTCTGTCGTTCTTTACTAAGTTTCTTAACAGCTCTGAAGAACCATGTGTTTTGACTCAAACATCCTTCACAACTTCTCTCATTCATTCCTAGTTCTTTCATGTCATTATCTTCAACCTCTATGGTCTCATTGACTAAGGTCAAAGGGTTCTTAGTCATTGCTGGTCTTATCTGAAACAATGTTTGTGCAACAGGTTTAACTAGTTCAGCAACGTCCTTCCTTAATATGAATAGCTGTTTCCACTCATCTTTGCTAACAGTTCTTTCATAACCACTGACAGTAATGATTTCATTTGCTGACCTTAGACACTTATGTTCTATCATTTGTATTGCTTTTGTGTAAGGCTTTCGTGAGCATAGGTTGTATATGTCATTCCTGCAATGTTCATTCATGCCAATAGTACTAAATCCTTTCTTTGCTGTTGATGCATAATATCCATTAGTTCCTGTGTTCGTATTGCTGTCTCATAAAATACAACAAGACCTTTGTCATCTATGACGTACTTACCGAAAACATTGCTTATATTCTTTAACCATGAAATAACATCCTCATTCATGCTGTCAAACATGAAGTAAGGTCTTACATACTCTTCACTTATAAGATACTCCACAAAGTACTTGTTAAACTCTATGTCCTCGTGAGCGATTTCATTAGGTTTGATATTAGTTCCTTTTGTCATTGCTGTCATGTACTTCACTCTCATAGTTCCTTTCAATAGCGTAAAAGTACTTCATTGTTTCATAACTGCTCTAAATTCTGTTCAAAATTCGTACAACATAACTTTTAACATTAGTGAAAGAACATGAGCGAAACAACAACATCTAACATTACCGAAGAAGTCAATGACAATGCCGATGAAAACATTACAGAAGGAGCTAGTGAAAATATTGACGAGTTCAGTGAGGAAGAAGATATTGAGGACGTCAATGAGAACGTTAGTGGGGAACAAACTCAATGGGAAACATTGAGAAATCATGAAGATTATGAGATTTGTACGACATATCCTTTTACTATTCGTCGAAAGAAAAACAAACATATTAAGAGTGAATGCTTAAATAATCATGGTTATATTGAGCTTAGTTTAAACAACAAAATGTACTTAAAGCATAGAATTATTGCAGAACAGTGGATTGAAAATCCAAACAATTTGAAAGAAATAGACCATATAAATCATGATAGAACGGACAACAGAATCTCAAACCTTCGTTGGTGTTCTAGATCTGAAAACAATAGAAATAAAAGCAAGTATGGCGATATAGTTTATGAGTTCGTTGATGAAATATCTGACGAAGCTGTTGAAATAACAGCTTATGGTAAGCATTCGTTTGAGTTCTACTACTATGTTGAGAATGAGGACGCATTCTATTATTATACAGGTCTTAACTATCGAAAACTTCATATAAACTTTACAAAAACAGGTGCTGCTTATGTTTGTATGATAGATACAGAAAACAAGAGAGTAATCTTATGCATAAACAAATTCAAACGCTTGTACGGCTTCATGTAGGACAAACATTATTTTTCAACACTAACGCCAACACGTAGGACAAACATTCATGACTAACATTACTGTATAACATAAATGATTTGTCATGATTTAATCGTAAATGTTTTGTCATGATTTCATCGTACATGTTTTGTCATGATTTCATCGTACATGTTTTGTCATAGATTTCTTCATCGTAATGAGCGTAAATGATTCAAAAATATATTTTAGGTGAAGAGGTGAGATCTCACCTCTTTTCTCACCTCTTTTCTCACCTCATTGAATTTTCATGATTTCTTCATCGTAAATGTTTTGTCATAGATTTCTTCATCGTAATGAGCGTAAATGATCCAAAAATATATTTTAGGTGAAGAGGTGAGATCTCACCTCTTTTCTCACCTCTTTTCTCACCTCTTTTCTCACCTCATGAATTTTCATGACTTCTTCATCGTACATGTTTTGTCATGATTTCATCGTAATGAGCGTAAATGTTTTGTCATGATTTCATCGTATATGTTTTGTCATAGATTTCTTCGTATATGTTTTGTCATGATTTAATCGTATATGTTTTGTCATGATTTAATCGTAAATGTTTTGTGAAGAATATAACAACCGCCTGAATTCAGACGGTTGCTTTTTATACAAAATTCACACAGGAAAATTCTTGAGTTTTGGTTGAAAGAATACGGTCAAGCCAAAAGTGGCTCGACCTCAAAACAAACATTTTATGAGCTTACTAAGGCATTTATGAATGAATTCAAAGGTATTTGCATACATCCTGACCTCGTTCATTTTGTTGCTGAATGGTGCTCTGTAAAGTATGCATTTTATGTCAAAGATATTATGGACTCCATAGATAAGAAAGTTCATGAGAAGTTAGATGAAGAAGAACTCGAAGATACAGTAGAGAATGCAAAACATTTTTGACGAAGTGAAGATCTTCACTTCGTCAAAATGTGATGCAAAAACAAGCATTTTATGAGCTTACTAAGGCATTTATGAATGAATTCAAAGGTATTTGCATACATCCTGACCTCGTTCATTTTGTTGTTGAATTCAGCAAAAATAATGTTTAGGGTAGATGGTTTTTAGGTGTCACTACGTCACCATGTCACCAGGTTAATTAACTTCTCTTAAAATTACTGACAACATGACATTTAGACAACAGTCCAGGAAATAAACTTCTTCGTAAATGTTTTGTCATGATTTAATCGTAAATGTTTTGTCATGATTTCATCGTATATGTTTTGTCATGATTTAATCGTAAATGTTTTGTCATGATTTCATCGTATATGTTTTTGTCATGATTTAATCGTACATGTTTTGTCATAGATTTCTTCATCGTAATGAGCGTATATGTTTTGTCAAACATGAACGTAAATGTTTTGTCATGATTTAATCGTAATGAGTGTAAATGATTTCATATAATTGCTTACCTCGGAAAACGAGAGAAGAGATTCCATATGAAAATCGCAAGAATTTGGCTCCTGGTTTGAAATATTATTATGTTCATAGACTTCATCGTATATGTTTTGTCAAACATGAGCGTATATGTTTTGTCATGATTTCATCGTAAATGTTTTGTCATGATTAATCGTATATGTTTTGTCATGATGATTTCATCGAAACTAAACGTATATGTTTTGTCATGATTTCATCGTACATGTTTTGTCATTGATTTCATCGTAATGAGTGTAAATGAACCAAAAATAATGTTTACGTTCATGTTTGACAACAACACAGGAGGAAGGCAGTTATGAATTATTTTTGAATAACTGAAGGTGTCACTACGTCACCATGTGTACTCGGTTAATGAACTTCTCTGAAAAAGTGTGACAACATGACATTTTGACAAACAACACAGGAGGAAGGCAGTTATGAATTATTTTTGAATAACTGAAGGTGCTACCATGTTACCATGTGCTACAGGTTAATGAACTTCTCTGAAAAGTGTGACAACATGACATTTTGACAACAACACAGGAGGAAGGCAGTTATGAATTATTTTTGAATAACTGAAGGTGCTACCATGTTACCATGTGCTACCAGGTTAATGAACTTCTCTGAAAAGTGTGACAACATGACATTTTTGACAACAACACAGGAGGAAGGCAGTTATGAATTATTTTGAATAACTGAAGGTGCTACCATGTTACCATGTGCTACCAGGTTAATGAACTTCTCTGAAAAAGTGTGACAACATGACATTTTGACAACAACACAGGAGGAAGGCAGTTATGAATTATTTTTGAATAACTGAAGGTGCTACCATGTTACCATGTGCTACCAGGTTAATGAACTTCTCTGAAAAAGTGTGACAACATGACATTTTTGACAACAACACAGGAGGAAGGCAGTTATGAATTATTTTTGAATAACTGAAGGTGTCACTACGTCACCATGTGTCACTCGGTTAATGAACTTCTCTGAAAAAGTGTGACAACATGACATTTTGACAACAACACAGGAGGAAGGCAGTTATGAATTATTTTTGAATAACTGAAGGTGCTACCATGTTACCATGTGCTACCAGGTTAATGAACTTCTCTGAAAAAGTGTGACAACATGACATTTTGACAACAACACAGGAAATAAATGTTTACGTATATGTTTTGTCATGATTTCATCGTAATGAGCGTAAATGACCCAAAAATAATGTTTAGGTGAAGAGGTGAGATCTCACCTCTTTTCTCACCTCATTGAATTTTCATGATTTCTTCGTATATGCTTTGTCATGATTTCTTCGTACATGTT